GCGTGTTGACGCACCTTAAGAGCGTAGCGCGTTTCATATAATAAGTAGCACATGGTATCTACTGTATACCCTTGCATCTGGCCATCCCTATCTGCATACGCGTTACCGTAGATGAAAAGTGCACTCGCTCACTTCGCACGCGGAAACCCATGCTATCTGTTCGACCAACGCTCACAGCATATATTCCACTAATGTGCGCTCACGAAAGTAAGCTTCAGTATTGAGTTAGCACTTCACGCGACGAATACGTTGCTGTCTACGTAGACGCGAGCACGTGTGCGGTAATGCAGATCATACAAGTGGATATGACAAGTCGATGTGTCTGTACGCAGTACCGTACTTTAGTGTCCTGTTCAAATTGGTCGAGATCAGAGCTGGAGATGGATATAGGTGTACCCGCCGCGCGCGTATATATCTACTAGCAGACGCGCGGTCCGCTTGCCTATATCGCTGCGGTATGGCCCGATCCCAGTTAGTGACCGGCCTGGTCATATAGACTGATACATTAAAGGCGTAAGCACAGTAAGCCAGCACCATAACGCAAAGGTACCAAGAAAGCCGCAGTGACCCCATGCGCTTTGGCTACCGCGAGAGCGTGGCTCTGGCGAGCTTACGAAATAAGTTATGCGTGGACACATCAAATAACACCGAGCTGATAAGTAGTAACGAGAGTACAGCATCTAACGTACACGAGCTACTATTCGATTCAAATCTAAGCACGACTCTAATATGATAATCTGCCTATATCGATATGGTTTCGCATGTTCGTCATACATATCAGAGCATGCTACTCGGAAAGGATCTACGCCTCTTGGTCAGTCAGTAGCTATGCAAATAAGTTAGTAAGTGCGTCAGCTAGGCAAGTAAGATCAATGCATGGGAAAGATAGTGGAAAGACTCTTCCGTAATATCGTTAAGAGCTCAGCGGAACATTTTAAAGACATAATATTGGTGTTTGTGGCGACCATCGGCAAAACCTTCCTGTCCCAAAATATACTTCGCGCGAGGAGCTGACCAAACCTTGCTCTAATAGACCGTTGCAATCAATGATACGGTGTCGACTGCTTCACAGCGATGACGTGACGGATTGTAATATGTTTGTGTACGCGTATTTATTCCAGCTAAACTGGGATTCCTCACCGAACTATGTCAATTTGGGTCATCATTGATACTGACACGTCTTCTGAACAGCATATATAAATCTGACAACTACACGCGCCTCCGATTCGTGTCATTTTGGGAGCAATGCGTTCAAACGAGATTATAGACAAAACCTTCCCGGGTAAGATGGTGCTCATCTTGCAGATCACGTTAAACCCTGGTCATGTCTACCATAACATGTGAGCAATAAGGATACTAGGTGCGGTGCTGCTTTCGAAACCGTAATATTACGTAGATCCACAAGTATACATTTGACTATATGCTCGCTTTGCTTTTGAGATGGAAACTCTAAAGCGCAGCGGAGGTGGTTGGGCCCAGGCTTCACAACCCAGCGCTTTTTGTAGGGGACTTTGCGAATATATATCTTCTTTACTTCACCTGGCACTCACCACTGCCACCCGTGCAATGAAGGCGCGCGGCTGCACGGTCATTGCGCTATCTGCTCCCGTGCACCCCACCCGACGAATGCATGCGCGCACGATAATAGTCTTTTAGTCACTTTTATTGCATGTAAAGTATGTATTTGTTTAATAAATCTGATAGTATTACTATTAAAGCAAAATAGTAATATTTAAAACATTTTAATATGTTGCTTAATAATAAATACCAGCCTTACATTACCGTGCTATTGGCTAATATTTGGACGCAAGTAATTGGTTAAAACAATATATGTTGCTAACTTACTCACCGTTTGCAAAATGGTGGGCCGAGTGAAGATTGACCCGCTTCTGCTGAGCCCGCAGCGGTCTACGACGGACCCCCGAGCGCGCTGCGTCTGCTGCTGGAAGCTGCCGTACGGCTACGCGTTCCGTACAAACAGCGGGCGGGACATCGTGCGGCGCTGTATTGCCTGCGAGAGCGGCCCAAAAGCGGTTGAGTTTTGGGAGGAAAAGCCCCCACCACCTGATTCGGCCGAAGTGCGCCGCAAGGAAAGCCTGGCGAACGTCAAGAAGGCGATGGGTCCTGACGGAAGAAGAAGCGCAGCCGCCTTCGCAAGTTGACCGCCCGAAGCGCCAAGTACATTGAGCAAAAGAAGCAGCAGAAGAGCAAGTAACTGGTAAATATACCCCCATTTTCCCACCTATTTTGGTATTTAATATACCGGACCACAGTGCGAGGTTTGGAGCCGCACATACGGTACAACTGACTATGACGCTGCCAAGCGTGTTGACGCACCTTAAGAGCGTAGCGCGTTTCATATAATAAGTAGCACATGGTATCTACTGTATACCCTTGCATCTGGCCATCCCTATCTGCATACGCGTTACCGTAGATGAAAAGTACACTCGCTCACTTCGCACGCGGAAACCCATGCTATCTGTTCGACCAACGCTCACAGCTTATATTCCACTAATGTGCGCTCACGAAAGTAAGCTTCAGTATTGAGTTAGCACTTCACGCGACGAATACGTTGCTGTCTACGTAGACGCGAGCACGTGTGCGGTAATGCAGATCATACAAGTGGATATGACAAGTCGATGTGTCTGTACGCAGTACCGTACTTTAGTGTCCTGTTCAAATTGGTCGAGATCAGAGCTGGAGATGGATATAGGTGTACCCGCCGCGCGCGTATATATCTACTAGCAGACGCGCGGTCCGCTTGCCTATATCGCTGCGGTATGGCCCGATCCCAGTTAGTGACCGGCCTGGTCATATAGACTGATACATTAAAGGCGTAAGCACAGTAAGCCAGCACCATAACGCAAAGGTACCAAGAAAGCCGCAGTGACCCCATGCGCTTTGGCTACCGCGAGAGCGTGGCTCTGGCGAGCGTACGAAATAAGTTATGCGTGGACACATCAAATAACACCGAGCTGATAAGTAGTAACGAGAGTACAGCATCTAACGTACACGAGCTACTATTCGAT